TTATTATTATTATTATTATTATTATTATTATTATTATTATTATTATTTCACTTTGAAGAGGATTTTTAAACTAACACTTTTGGCTGACAGTGTAGTTCAGTTGGTAGAGTGCAACAAAGAGAGTTGCCGGAAACCAAGGAAGAGTAAAGAAAAACCTCAGCTGGGTATGGGGGGTCTCAGCCAGGTACGGTAGCGCACAACTTCATCCCAGCACGGGGGAGGCGGAGGCAGGCAGATCTCAGTGAGTTTGGGGCCAGCCTGGTCTACATAGTGAGTTCCAGGAGAGCCAAGGCTTTGTAAAGAGATTACCCTGTCTCAAAAACCACACACACACACACACACCCAATAACTACAAAACCTCCCAAGAATTCAGAATTCGGAACTCTCCGATAGTCTGATGTCTGTAGATGGGGTATTGGTCAAAATCTACACCATCTCTGAGAACCAAGATGTCTCAAGTAATGTAGCTACAAAGAGGAAAAGCTCCGGGCTTTGCAGTTCCGGAGGCAAGCACAAAGCCTTCCTCAAGGTGTAACTTTGATTCAGGGTTGTGTGAACTCAAGTATGCACACTAGGGAACAGAGCACCATGAGGGAGAAGCAGCAGCAAGAACAGAGTCAGGTTGCAGAGCTGCTCAGTGGCTCAGGGCACAGGCTGACCCAGCTGACCCAGGTTCAGTTCTCAGCATGGTGACTCCAGTTCCAGGAGAGGCCTCTGCTGGCCTCTGTGGGCACTGCATGTGGCCAAGCACCCACAAAAAAAAATGTGTAAGAATCTTAAATGTGTGTGTGTGTGCGCGTGTGTGTGTGCGTGTGTGTGTGTGTGTGTGTGTGTGTGTGTGTGTGGGAGTGGGGGGAGTGGAGTCACAGCTGGGCGTGGTGGTACATGACTGCAATCCCATCACTTAGGAGGCGGCAGCAGGAGCATCACCATGACTTTGAGGCCAGTTTGGTTTATGTAGAAATTTCCTGGCAAGTCAGGACTGAACAGTGAGACCATGTCTTAAAAAAAAAAAAAAAGAAGAAGAAAAGAAAAAGAAAAGGGGGCAGGAGGAATGAAGAAGAGGAGGAAGAGCGAGCTTGAGGAAGACACTGAAAAAATATATGTAAAAGAACTACGTTCAAGGAAACAGAAAGAAGAAACATTAGAAAAGAGCCTAGCATAACTTTTAAAAACATTAAAAAAAAAAGTGACATTGAAAAATATATGCAAAGGGCAAGCGGTCGACTTGTAGGCCTGACTGAGGAGGAAATTAGCAACTGAAAGAAGGCCAGCGGTTCCGATGTGGCGTTCACAGCGATGACTGGTCCACCTGCAGAACTGTTCAGCGTGGCTGTCTTCAGGCAGGAGCAGTCAGGAATGGCAGAAACGGCCAGCACACACCAACTGCCCCGTGTGCTTCCCCAGGTCTTAGACTTGCCTGAAGTTTGGTCAGAGTCAGGTGACCATTTCCAGGTAATGCCACCTTTAGGCCAGGATGATTCGAAATGGTACAGAGCCTTGAACCTGCAGTTCATTTTCCCCTTCACATTTAAAAAGTTTATTTACTGTGTGTGTGTGTGTGTGTGTGTGTGTGTGTGTGTGATGGTGCTTGTGTAGAGGTCAGAGGATAATAGTGGGAACTGGTGCTCAATTTCTACCAGCTGAGTCCTGAGGATCAAACTCAGGTTGTAAGGTTTGGCTGCAGGTGATCTTTTCCACATTGCAGAATTCAGCCAACTCACGTCTTTGGGGAAGTTGTTTTGGGTCAAAAGGCACAATCTTGTCTCCATTATATTCCCTTCTCCAGATCAGCCCACCCCACCTACCACAGATACAAAGTCCTGAGCTACTTTTTACATTCAGGACAGATGCCTTGTATGATGGCGTGTGAGGGGCTCCTGTGACAGGCACAGGCTCCGTTCCTGCGGCTCCTCCCCAATCCTGCCATCCTCACTTCTCACAGTGCTGTTTCTGAGACCACTCCTCAGCTAACTTCCTGCATCCCAACTTCTATCTCAGAGTTTGTTTCTGGGAAACCTGGCTGAAGATGCTGTCCTCTCTCTTCCCCTCTGTGGTGACCTTGGAAGCCACCTGTTCCAGATGGCGCAGCTAGGAGATGACAGATCTTCCATCTGCTAGCATCTGCCATCTCCCAGTGACTGCTGTGTCATTTGAAGTGAAAGACATCTTTGACACCTCAAGTCACTGATATCTGGAATAACATGCTTAAGACAGGGTCTCGTATAGCAGAGGCTGACCATATTCAGGCTACAAATTCATCAGCTTCTGAGTGCTGAGATTAAAGGCCTCCAGTGCTGGGACTTGAACCCAGAGCTTTTTGCACGCTAGGTAAGTACCTAGCCACTGAGCCACATTCCCAGCCTACCGTGGGTAACTTTTAACCTCTGCCTGTCTACTCCCCTGCGCCAAGACAGCTGAGGTGAGCTAGGTGGTGGCCACACTTTTAGCCCCAGCGCTCCAGAGGCAGACAGAGTTTGAGGACACCTGGGTCTACACATCAAGTTCCAGGACAGCCAGGGCTACACAGAGAAACCCAGTCTTAGAAAAAAAAAAGTTGAAGTGATCTCTAAGCTAGTGGGTACAGAACATGTATATAAGTAGAGGAGAAACACAGAATGTGAGACAGGAATAAGGAAACCATTGTGAGACTTCGTCCCAGACAACTGAAATGGAATGTGGAAGCAGAGACAGCAGATGCACGAACATAAGACAGTTGTGACAAGCGCAAATCCCTCTATAACATCACTAGAAACGGTAACAGAGCAGATTCAGTAGTGAAAAGACACGCGCTGCCAAGCCAGAACTGCAAGTGCGAGCTGTTTACACAAGGCACAGTTAAAAATGTAATGACAGGAAGGGCTGAAAGGCAAGGAAGAGGAGAGATGACTCCAGTGATAATAAAAATGGTGAGCCTGGATTGCAGCACCAGATGGGAGCTGAGACGGAGAGCACTATGCAGAAAGCCACAGCAAAATTCTCTTTTTCCTTCACCGGAAAGCTACATGAGGCTAAAAAATTAACTTTTCTATGAGGCGTTTAATTTTTCATGACGTTCGTTGTGTGTGTATGTGTTCTGTGTGGACGAACGCATGCCACAGTGTACACATGTGTGTGGACGTCAGAGGACAATGTCCAGTGTGGTTCTTCCTCACATGACATCTTGGGTTTTTTTGTTCTGTTTTGTTTGTTGTTGTTTTCCTTTTCAGAGATCTCCCATTGCCCTGGGACTTGCAGTCAATGCTCGGGTGACTGGCCGGTGAGCCCCAGGGATCCATCTGTCTCTGCCTCCCCAGTGCTGGGTTTCCAAGCACTTGACAGCTGTTTTACTTTGGTCCTGGGATTTGAACCCAGGTCCTTAGGCTTGCACAGCAAGCATCTTACCACCAGTGATTACCCCAGCCCCTGAAATCCATCTTAATTGTCTCTCTTTCCTGATTCCTTCCTTCTCCACGACAGGAGTGACCCATCTTTCCTCTGAGCTGCTTTACAAAGTATTCATGTATGTTTGAGTTCCCCGTGAGCTTCAGAGAAGCCCAGTAAAGACAGAATGGCCAACATGTCTCTTCTGAACCCTGTCAAACATCTCACACACAGGAAGAAGTCAATAAAAAACGTCATGAATCAATAAGTCCAAGACTCACCCTGTGTCCCCAGTGGCCACACCTGCTGATGTGTGGGCAGGGAGGGGAGTGGGTGGCCTTGTGTTACCAGAGGCAGGCCTTGCTGAAAGGGCCGAGGATGGTGGCTTCCTCTAGAGCTAAGCTTTCCTCATCTTGCCCCACAACTCTGCACTACCCATGATTCTCAGCACCTTCTCCCCGGCATCACCTAGCTCTAGACCTCCAGATTAGAACCTGGCAGGTATCTCTCTTCAGCGTATCACTGGTGATGGTGAGCTTGGTTAGGGACTACAAGGCATCAGTGTGTGGCAATCAACTGAGCAGAAAGGGGCTCTCATCTCCATGAAACATCCCACCACAAAACAGCATCCACTCGAAGTCAGTCCTGCAGGAAGGGAGCTGGACCCAGAGACACAGGGGCGTAGTCTTGTGCTTTCTCTACAAGACAACGTGGAGGCACTCCAGTTTGGCAGAGCACACAACCAAAAGCTTAAGGCTTATGAAAGCAGGGTGTCTGGGAGTGCCACATAAGTCAGGATGCTCTCCCCCAAAAAGTAAAAAACAGCCACCAAGCAAGTCCAACCCCAGACCTGGCCTGACCTGGCCCTCCTGTAAGAGCAGAGGCTAGAGCTGGGAATGGTGGTATATTCTCTGCATATGGGAGGCTAGGAAGGAGGGTTGTGAGTTTCAGGCTAAATTAAATAAAATAGAGGTCGGGAGTAAGGGATGGAGAGAGCACTTGCACGGAGCCAGGCTGGGGTGACTGCTCTCTGGCCCCTTTGAGGCACCACAGGAGGCCCCACCCTGCAGCTGTTACTCCTTCCCTTGGCTAGCCCAGATCTGTCTCTCTAATGAGCTTGCTTACTGATGTTGCATGGAAGGGCTGTACTCTGCCAGCCTGGGGCACAGGTCAGGCAAGGGGTGCTGATTTCTGCGGAAGGGTTGGAGGGAGCCTTAAAGAAGGGGCCTGTGAAAAGCATCCCCAAACCCCCTATTGCAGAGGCTGATTCACTGCAGACCCTGGAACTCAGCCATGGAGTGAAGCCCATACCTGGGGCACCTGGTCTATGCGGAACAGCCTGGGGAGTTTCAGGCTCAGCATCTTGACACCAGGCTGGGCAAGGCAGGTGGGGTTACTCCAGTCTCTCAGCAGGTCTCAAGAGTTCTGACATGCCTGGGATATCAAGGTGGCTTCCCTGAAAGAGGACAGACAAGAAGAAATCAGGTCAGACTCCACCTAACTCCAACTGGATAGGGTATCTGGTGGTTTAACCATTGAACATTTGCTTTAGAATGATAGCAAAAAACAAAACAAACAAACAAAAACAAAACAAAACAAAAAACAAAACAAAACACCCCCCCAAGATTCCCATGGCTGGGGGATGTAGCTCGGTAGGTGCAGGGCTTGCCTGGCATGTATGAGGCCCTGGGTTCAAAGACAGGCATGCTAGTGTAAGCCATCAGTCCTAACCCTGAGGAAGCAGAGGCAGGGGTATCTGAGGTTCAAAGTAATCAATTCCTAGCCAGCCTGGGCTACTTGAGACTCTGTCACAAAAAAAGGGCAAATATTTCCTTTTTCTTTTTGGTTTTTTGAGACAGGGTTTCTGTGTAACAGCCCTGACCTTGTAGACCACACTGGCCTGTAACTCACAGAGATCCACCTGCCTCTGCCTCCTGAGTGCTGGGATCAAAGATGTGTGCAAAGATTTCTTGAAAGCATCGAGTCAGAGGCTTTGTCCCTCAGTCTGAGGAAGCTAGTAGGTAAGCAAGTAGATCCTCCATGGCTGAGTCCTACAGTATGAAAGTTTTGACATTCAAATTCCATATGCTAGAATTTAATCCCCCCTGTGGAATGAAGCAAGGCCTTTGGAAGGTCCCACTGTTATGAATGGGATTAGTACCCTTATCATTAAAGAGGCCCGAGGGAGCTTTCTTGGCTCTGGGCCCGGGAGGACAGGAGGAGAAGGAGCCTTCCATGAAGAAGTCTCAATACGTTACCACCCTCATCTTGCCCCCAGAAGTGGAAACGATACGTTTTCGTTGTTTATAAATAACTGATGTAAGGTATTTTGTGATAGCAGAATGGACTGAGACTGTGGTAGAGAAAGCTGTCGGGCTGTAAAGGCCTGAGACCACCCTCTTCCCGCTGAGGGGCAGCTGTACAGTGCTTTCCCCAGAGCCGCTTTCTGAACTGGGAAGAGCTCAGGCCACTCACTCTGTCCGCCACCATAGGCTGTTCTGAGGTGGGCGGGGCAATCTCAAGCCTCTGTCACCCAGGTAGCAGATGATGGGGGCGTGAGATGGTTCAGGGGTAAAGCTGTTTGCCCTCAAGCCTGAAGATCCAAGTTTCATCCCCAAGGTCCTATGGGAAGAGAATAAACAGCTACTGTAGGTTGTTTTCTGTCCTCTGCTCTTGCACTGTGGCAGCTATGAACTTCCACACACACTTGCAAAAGCACACACATGATCAAGAAACTAAATTTTAATGAAAATTTTAAAGAGGGAAAAGAAATATGCTCTAGCTCAAAGAAGACTTGGCTCTCCCAGGGAGCTGACCACAGCTCTGTCACACATACACACACAGAAAAAAAAAAAAAAAAAAAAAAAAAAACAGGCAAAAATCCAAGAAGCTTCCTGGAGACAGAGCAACTTGGAGTAAACAATAAATTTGATCAAACAGGATTAAGACTGTTTAGCAACTGTAAATAATATGAGCTACAGAAACCTAAAGTTCTCAGACAGCCCAAGAAACAGCAAGATGCTGCTTTAGCACAAAGAGGACAAAGCTAGGGACTGACCACAGTGAGGACCTTCTCGCTCTGCCATCATCCTAGACCAGAGCCTGCTCCTTCCTTAGAGCCCCTATCATGTCCCCATCAACAGAAAGGTCCAGGGACCTTTCCTAACCTCCCTGGACCACCAGGCACGTTCCTTCGGGGACCTCTGTGGCTGAGTGGAAAATCACATATCATATACACACACACATAAAAATAAAAGGAGGTCAACTGGGTAAGACACATATGGACACATACACTCCTGTCAAAGGGGGTTTTACAATATGCAAGAGATTATACCTACACACCACACACATGAACAGAATGGACTTTAAATCAAGGGAATTGCATCTTAGCACAGAGCATCAAGAGTGAATTTCTCCTGAGCACTGGGAGACGGTGGGCAGCAGAATGTTTGTGATGTGTGTGGCCTGGATGGCAAGTCAGCAAGCTGAGGCAAGTTCCGGGTAAGACAGAACCTGACTGACCTGTTTCAAGGTGTGGAGCTTCTGCTGTTGTATTCTTACAGCATCCAAAGCAATGAAGCCTTTCCTATGCCTAGGTTGTCAGCCCACCCCTAAGGGGCTCATCTTTATGTTTGTCAGCTCTCCTGTGAAAGCCCAGTGGCTGATGGTGGGAAGTCATGGCACACAGCCGATCTTAAGCCTTTCAGACCTCACTGAACCTGAACTCCCTGATCTCGTAAGTTCTACCTGCTGGGAAACAAGCTCTTCATTTCACAGACACTAGGAAAACCAGACTGCAATGTGTAGGATCACCAACATTGCAGCTTGGGTTGCTATGTCTTCATGCAGAGGTCTAGAGGCAAGCTTGAACTGAACCAAAGAGCGTCTGTTCTTTTAATTCTGTTGCTGTGTTAAAAACACTCTAGTTAAAAAACGACAAAAAGCAACTTAGGGGAAAAGGTTTTCTTTAGCTAAAATTTCCAGGCTATCATCTATCACTGCAAGGAAGTCACAGTGGCAGGAGTTTGAGAAAACTGGTCACATTTTATCCATAGTGGATGATAGAGAAATGAAGGCATGTTCACCTGATTGTGCTCAGCTCACTTTCTTCACTCTTACGAAGCTCAGGAACCCCTGCCCAGGGAATAATGTCACCCACAGTGGCTTCATTTTCTTACATAAGTTAAGATAATCTTGCATAAACATACTCAAAGGCCAACCCTTTCTAAACAATCTCTCTTTAGGATTCTCACATTGTGTCAAGTTGACAAAGTTAAACATAACAGTTTCTAAGATAAAATCCAAACACATCAAAAAGATACAGCTTCTTAGTGCCTCATGAAGATTTCATCTTACTGGAGTTTCTGTGGCTTTATAACAAGGGCTGGAGATGTTTCTCAGAGGGTAGAGTTCTTGCTCAGAATGTACAAAGTTCTGGGCTTGATCCTGAGCACAACAAAAAACCAGGTGTAGTGGTGCACACTTGTAACCCCAGCACTCAGGAGGTCAAGGCAGGAAGGTTCAAGGTCATTCTTGGCTACACAGAGAGTTCCAGGATACCCTGGGATACAAGAGACACTATCTAAAAAATAAGTGGGTATTGTAATATATCCATAGGACTTGCTGGAGTTTTTCTGAAATAACCTTTAAAAAAATCCCAAGAATAAAATCTTAAGCAAGAGACTTCATGTTAGGACTCCATGCCTTGGATTCAAGGCCATCCAAGGATTAATAAAAAGTAAAGATGAACTCGGGTTCTCCGTGCATCTCATGATGGAGTTCCATTCGCAAAGGCTGTACCTCAAGACTTCATAACCTACTCTGCTGGTGTTTGTCAACTTGACACAAGCTACAGTTACGTTGGAAGATGGAAACTCAGTTGAGAAAATGCTCCCACCAGATTGGCCTGTGGGCAAACCTGAGTTGCATTTTTCTTCTAACTGATGGCTGGTGTGGGAGGGCCCAGCTCAGGGTGGGCAGGGCCATCACTGGGCTGGTGGTCCTAGGAGCTATAAGAAAACAGGCTGAGCAAGCCATGGAGAGCAAGCCAGTCAGCAGCACTTCCCCCTACCACCCCATGGCTTCTCCTTCAGCTCCTACCTTCAGGAGCTGGAAGATGAAGTTAACCCTTTCCTCACTGATTGCTTTTGGTCATGGCACTTTATCACAACATCGAGAAAACCTAAGATAACTACTAAATATAGTCATATAAGATGGCCCAAAACAACCTAGTGAGTTGTTTTCCCAATGTCAGGTTCCAAAAATTTAATAAATTCTAGTAATATAAATGAACCGACAATTAGTCACATTATTAGCATGAATTTATTAATTTAGCCAAGCAAACATATAGGCTCTCAATTATATTCAATACAGTAATTAAAAAATTTCCACTCATACTATATAGAAATAAATGTATTGAAGTCTTTATCTGTGTCATCAAAGATAATGCCTTCCTCATAAATATTGTCACTTTTTCGAGTTTTCTCATACAATTTGACTAAAGAATATTGTCTAATCCTTGATCCATTATATTAGCAGTTTTCAACCTGTGAGTTATGACCCCTTTGGGGTCGCACATCAGATACCCCATGTATGGATATTTACATTACAATTCATAAAGTAGCAAAATTCCAGTAAGAAGAAGCCCATGTTGTGGGGTCACCACAGCTTGAGGAACTGAAGGAAAGTTCAGCATTAGGAAGGTTGAGAACCACTGCATTATGGAGAGGCTCGGAAGACAACATCCCAGACCACGCCTCCTCACCAAGCTGAGCACTTTAAACTGAAGGAGGCTAGGCCTCAGAAACCGGGCTCTCTGACCTTGGCCTGCTCTGGCCCTCTGTCACCTCCTCTCTCTCCTATAGCAGGTTGTAACACTCAGAGAACACATGGTCTCATGCTCCTTTGGAGAATTTGACTCCAGGGAGCCCTGGCCCACATCCAAAAGAGAGTATGCTGCACAGAGAGGCAAGATTCTGAGCAGACAGGCCCGGCTGGGGATCCCACTGAGGGTCTGTTTGCCTTAGGCCACACCCTGTGTCCAATCACACATTTCAAATGGATGCCCACTCTTCACAGAACTTGAACTTGAACACCGTTCTTGCTGGGCCTTTGGGCCTGTATTCCCGAAGTACTTTGTGCCACAGAAAATGTGCGTGTGTGTGTGTGTGTGTGTGTGTGTGTGTGTGTGTGTGTGTGTGTTCGCTCATTCACATATATGCATGTGAAGGCCAGCAACAACCTTATATGTCGTCCCTCGGGTGACATCACCTTTTTTTAGACAGCATCTCTCCCTGGCCTGGAGAGCTCCTAATAGGAGAGCTCTCCTAGCATGTCTATCTGTCTCCACCTCCCTGGTGCTG